CACCACAGCCCGACACTCACTACAGTCGACACTCACTATAGCCCAACACTCACCACAGCCCGACACTCACTACAGTCGACACTCACTACAGCCCGACACTCACCACAGCCCGACACTCACTACAGCCCGACACTCACCACAGCCCGACACTCACCACAGCCCGACACTCACCACAGCCCGACACTCACCGCAGCATTCTGTTGGTTGTTGTTCACTCTGAGGGCGTCTATCACCTCCTTCTCGTCGAATCCCATCTCCATCAGGGAAATGACGGCCTAGAGGACAGCACAGCCGTTAGCTCGCTGGGGGCGGCAGGAGGCCGAGGAACCAGTGCCCTGCGTGCAGAGAGGGAGCCCTGCTCCCCGGCACCCTAGCGGGGGGTGCTCCCAACAGCACTGCGGACGTTCTCCGTCCACGTTCTCTTTCCTCACAGCTCTACTGAAACAGATCTTGGTTTTCAGCATCCTAAAGCCGAAGAAGCGAAGGGTATGACTATAGTTAGCAGAGCCAGGGGGTCGGTGCAGCTCCCAGGCTTGTCTTCAGGGAGCCACAGGTTGTGGGGAGAAGCCACAGGTTATGACAGGTAGAAATGCATCGCTTATGTGGACATGAGGCAGTCAGGCCAACTTCAGACCCTTTCAGGTTTGTCCCAATGACTGTGTGGATAAGACTGTCTCAGCAGCCACTGCAGGTTTACCCCAGAGGGGCTTGTTACCCAAGAATAAGTGGCATTAGAGAAAGGCCACATCAGTAAATGCAATCTCAATGGAAACAAAAATGTCATTGTAATCCGTGAAAAAAGGTTTTATTCAGATCTTAGAAAAAAAAATCCTAAAACTAATTTTTTAATTTTAATATTGAACAAAACTTAAGCTACAACTAAACATATACTAATTCATTTTTGGGGAAGGGCATACATTTCTCTGGACACAATTCATGTAACAAGATAATACATCCTTTACTCTGGAGATTTATAACACAATGTTAAAGGGGTCCGTTTTGAAAAAATATAAATAAACAAAAAGAAAGCTTCATCAAAATTTCAAGGGCCTCTCCTAGTCCCTGAAAGGTCAGATCCCACTCTCTTGAAGCCCCCAGAGTCCTCTCCGTCTTTGTCAGTTTTCTGGCCACCATAAGGCCATAAGTGTAGGGGTGCCAGCCCCACACAGCTCCCAGCACCACCCAGGCTGACTTCATGCAGCACCACGCCCCACGGACCGTGCGCGTCCGCAGCCAGTCTGGACTGCATTGTCAGATACTTCCAAGAGAACCTGGCAGAAAAAGACTTGAGCTGGGGTGGAGCTCAGGAAGGATGCTGGCTGGAGCTAAACTGTGTGCAAGATCAGGTCAAAAGTCCCAGCTAGGCGCACTGGCTCACGCTTGTAATCTCAGCACTTTGGGAGGCCGGGGCGGGAGGATCACCTGAGGTCAGGAGTTTGAGACCAGCCTGACCAACATGGGGAAGCCCCATCTCTACTAAAAATACAAAAATTAGCTAGGCGTGATGGCACACGCCTGTAATCCCAGCTACTCGGGAGGCTGGGGCAGGAGAATCGCTTGAGCCCGGGAAGTGGAGGCTGCAGTGAGTCGAGATCGCACCACGGTACTCCAGCCTGGGCAACACAGTGATACTCCATTTCGAAAAAGAAAAAATCTCCGTATCTTCTATTTATGGTCCTTCCTGAGCCACATCCTAACTCAAGGAGCTCCAACAATGAACTTTGGAAGAACTCACCATACAATATTTTGGTATCAAAGTCATATAGAATAGCCTGGAATCTATTGAATTCAAGGACAGGATGCCCTTCTCACTAGCTTCAATAGGAAGCACTCTCCCTCATTTCTACCTCAGCCCAGGAAATGATGCCCCAGTACTCCTGAGGCAACACCTGGCAGCCCCCGCCCTCCCTCCCAGCCCATGGGGGCAAAGACTTGCTTGTGGGCAGCAATGGGAGAGGGGCAGCCACTCACAGGCTGCAGGACCTCGGGGCCTGCCAGCTCTGCCCCTGGTCAGCAGGTATCCTGTCCACCACCAGAAAGGGACGGGCAGCAGGAAATCTGTTTTGGCCTCAAGTCAGAGCTCTCCAATCCTTTCTCGGTAACAAAGCTAGTATCTCGATCTCTACTGGATACTTGCCTGATCTCAAGACTCATACAGAAACCAAAGGGTAGAAGGACTGATAGGCTGGCCCCTCAAGCCTTGACCACCTTGTAACCATTTTCATCAAAGACATTCTACGGAATATTCTGACACAGAGAGATGACAGGAGGGAATGACAATGGGGAAGATCTTAGGAAAATGAGCACGTTAAGATTGTTAAGAATGAGTATCTCTATTTAACGAAAAGGCTTAAGACGGCAAGAAAGAATATGACTAACAACCTCTAAGGGACCGTGTAGCACCACAACACGGGAGAGTGCAAAGTCCAGCCTCAGCGCACAAGGGACCCAGCTGGAGAGTGGCCGCTCCGCCCGACAGGCTTCCAGGATCAGATGTGAACTTGGCTCCCTAGGAGACAAGCACAACGAGACACACTTTCTGCTAAACCTAGAAACGCTAGATAAAAATAAAACAAAAATGCTTTTAGGCTGGGCACAATGGCTCATGCCTGTCATTCCAGCACTTTGGGAGGCCAAGGCAAGAGGATCACTTGAAGCCAGGAGGTCAAGACCAGCCTGGGCAACACAGGGAGATCCCTATCTGTACAAAATTTTAGAAATTAAAAAATTAGCCCCGTTTGGTGGTGCGTGCCTGTAAGAGCTACTCAGGAGGCTGAAGTAAAATCATTCGAGCCCAGGAGGTCAAGGCTGCAGTAAGCCATGATTGTGCCACCACACTCTAGCCTGGGTGACAGAGTGAAACTGTCTCAAAAAAAAAAAAAAGAAGAGAAACTTTTAAATGCATAGCTAAACTCACAAGGGATATCCACAAGTGACAAAAACCAAGAAGGAAGAGACAGAAAACTAGCTCTGTGAAAGGGTGTGCACAGGGTCTAACGTCCACACACAGACAGAACGTGCGCCTTGGGCCCATGGGAGGTAGACAGTGGGAAATGAGACCCTTACTGAAAATGAGGACCCTGAAAAGATGAGAAGATGGACTAGAAAAGCATTTGTCTCAATGGGATCTAACTAAACTGAAGAGCTTCTGCACAGCAAAAGAAACGACCACCAGAGTGAACAGACAACCTACAGAAGGGAATATTTTTACAATCTAACCACCTGACAAAGGGCTAATATCCATAATCTACATGGAATAAACAAATTTACAAGAAAAAAAAAACCCATTAAAAACTGGGCAAAGGACATGATCAGACACTTCTCAAAAGAAGACAGCTGGCTGGGCGTGGTGAATCACTCCTGTAATCCCAGCACTTTGGGAGGCCGAGGCGGGCAGATCACTTGAGGTCAGGAGTTTGAGACCAGCCTGGCCAACATGGTGAAACCCTGTCTCCACTAAAAACACAAAAATTAGCTGGGTGTGGTGGGTGCGTGCCTGTAGTCCCAGCTACTCAGGAGGCTGAGGCAGGAAGAATCCAGCCTGGGCAACAGAGCAAGGCTCAGCATTACTGATCATTAGAGAAATGCAAATCAAAACCGCAATGAGATACCACCTCATGCCAATCAGAATGATGATTATTAAAAAGTCATGAAATTGGCCGGGCATGTTGGCTCAAGCTTGTAATCCCAGCACTTTGGGAGGCCGAGACGGGCAGATCACGAGGTCAGGAGATTGATACCATCCTGGCTAACACGGTGAAACCCCGTCTCTACTAAAAAAATACAAAAACCTAGCCAGGCGACGTGGCGGGCGCCTGTAGTCCCAGCTACTCGGGAGGCTGAGGCAGGAGAATGGCGTGAACCTGGGAGGCGGACCTTACAGTGAGCTGAGATCTGGCCACTGCACTCTAGCCTGGGCGACTGAGCGAGACTCCGTCTCACAAAAAGAAAAAAAAAAAAATCAAGAAACAACAGCTGCTAGTGAGGCTGTGGAGAAACAGGAACGCTTTTACACTGTTGGTGGGAACATAAATTAGTTCAACCACCGTGGAAGACGTGTGGTGATTCCTCAAAGACCTAGAAACAGAAATACCATCTGACCCTGCAATTCCATTATGGGGTATATACCCAAAGGAATAACAGAAATCATTCTATTATGAAGATACGTGCACACATATGTTCACTGCAGCACTATTCACAATAGCAAAGATATAGAATCAACCCAAATGCCCACGGATAAGAAAAGAAACTGGGTAGGCTGGATAAAGAAAATACAGGACATACACACCATGGAATACCAGGCAGCCATAAAAAGGAACGAGATCACGTCCTTTGCAGGGTCATGGATGAAGCTGGAAGCCATTGTTCTCAGCAAACTAACACAGGAACAGAAAACCAAGCACCTCCTGTTCTCACTCATGAGTGGGAGCTGAACAATGAGAACACATGGACACAGGGAGGGGAACATCACACACTGGGGCCTGCCGGGGGCTCGGGGGAGGGAGGGCATCAGGATAAATAGCTAATGTATGCTAGGCTTAATACCTAGGTCATAGGTTGACACGTGCAGCAAACCACCATGGCACATGTCTACCTTTGGAACAAACCTGCACATCCTGCATATGTATCCCAGAACTTAAAATTAAATTAAATTTTAAAAGAAACAAAGAAAAGCGTTTGTCTCCACGGGACCCTGTGCAGGGAAGACCTGAGCTGTGAAGCCAGGGATTACACCGCAGGACATGAGGGGCAGGGGCCCCACTCATCACCGGCAGAAGCAAACTCAGAATCAGCCCAGGAGGATGTGTACAGCCTGGCCACAGGGAACTCCATGGAGGACACAAGCCCACAGGTGAGGCCACAGCACAATGTCACACACCCCAGGGAAACCATCAATGCCACACGTGAGACAGAGCATGCAGATGGAAGCCCTGACGGAGCGGATCTGCCGTCTGAGCATGTCGGAGAAGACAGAGACCTCCGAGGAGGAAGTAAGACCCGAATCAAGGAACAGGAGAGAGAAGGAAGAACGGGGAGATGAGGTGCGGGCGAGGAAGGTCCACACACACAGGCGCAGGGACCCTGCAGCCCCGCAGCCCGCGCCACGGAGGCGGGTGGCCAGCCTGAGCGGCCCCTCGCTCACAGACACCCACCACAGCAGATGACCCTCCCGGTCTCTGAGCAGGACCCCCACCCCGCAGAGATGCTGCCGAATAGGGGCAGCTTGTGGACATGAGTGGTCAGCAGGAACTGCAAAATGTCGTTTTTCAAAAGGTGACGAATGTGGCAACAGAGAGGAAACTGGGGTGCCTGGATTCAAGCCGGGATAACTTACAGGGGTGCTCAGAAACTCGGGCGGCGGTCCAGGCTCGCCACTTCCCAGGCCCACCTGTAAACCCCTTCCCCAGCTTCTCTCTCTCCTGGGACATGAGCCGGCTCAGCCCAAGGTCAGCCACACAGCCCCAGCCTCCTTTCCGTGGCGCCACCTCAAGGGAAGACACGGCGACTCTGCCTGGTGACAGGTCTAGTAACACATACCCGAGCATCAGCCCGAAACTCCCTTTTCCTCCGGATCTTCTTGAAGATTTCCGTGAGCTCATCTCTGGCCTCCTCGTCGGTGGTGCTGGCTCCTGCGGCAGCCTCAGGGGCGGCTGCAGTGGCCCCCTCAGCCCCTGGGGGAGCCTGGCCCGGAAGAGGCGTGTCTATGGTCGGATCTTCTGCGTGTTCAATTAGCCACTCCATGGCCTGAGGCACCGACATGCTGCAAGGCAAGAGACTCTTTCCAACACCCCCAGGCTAACGGACCGGGGCCTTCGCCTCCTGTCCACTCCCAAGAGCCTCTGCTACGGTAGTGACTTCTCCAGCATCAGCTGGTGGCCCTTATAATGAGAACCTGAATGAACACAGGTGCAACGGAAGCTCTGGTCCTTGCCTCAGACTACCTTGAGACCCTGGGCAGAAACAGAAGCCCGTCTAAGGAGAGGCGAGCGGATCCGGAGGTCTCTGCTGGGAGCTTAGGGATGGAGCGCCCCCGGCTGCCCCTGGATCTCGGATTATTCGTTTTAGATCTGAACACAGAAGCAGGACCAGTAACTCACACGGAAATCCTGAGAAGACTGTTAGAGGCCGTGTTCCTGCTACGAACGGGCTTCACCTTGAGTTCTCATACAACGGCCCAAAGGGAATTTAGACAACGACTGCTCTGCCACATTCACCCCAAAAACGCTTTGCAGGCCCATATTTAAGGTACCTCTTCAAAACCCCACACGTTAGAAAAGATTCAGTCAAACAAAGAGTTTAGGGTAGGAGGACGTCACCCACGGTGGGAGCCCCACAAGACCAGGCCCCACGTGTCTCCGGCAAGGGAAGGAGGCGGCCCCCACGCACTGGTTCAGCTGGAGGGCCTTGGTGGCTCTGTTCTCCGGAAAGCCCATCTCCGTGAGCTGCCGCAGGGCGGCCTCGTCCACGCGCTCATCCTCGTCCTCGTCCAGCATCGCTGCGGGGAGACGACAGGGCCATGAAGGCTCCAGCCTCAGGCCCAGGGGCCTTATCTGAGCACAAACATTTGCAGGAATTATCTGTCTGAGCTCTGCCTGCCCACCCTCAGGCGTATCAACAGGCGTTGCCGGTGAGGCAGGCCCCAGGCCCTCATCAGCGCTTCCATAAAGCACTGAGGTTCTGGTGGTGCGTGAGCTGCAGACGCTCCCCTAGGCAGGCAGCGAACCACGCCTGGAATGCAGCATCAGGGTTGACTCATACCATTCGCCTTCTTAAACAGTTCCACCGCATCTGGGTTCAGTGCTAACAGCTTCTGCGCCACCTCGATGAGAGACACCAGGATCTTCCGGAGTTCTGTCTGGAACTGCAGTGAAAAAAAAGGAGATCAATTCTCTAAATGTCCAGCAAACCTACTTGGACCTATGGCTTGCTCCCATCCTGGAACTCCGATCCTCAGAGTCGAGATGACACTGCTTTCCTGCAAGACAGCAGGATCAACTGAGGGCAAGTCAGGGGATCGGCAGGGCCAAGGGCCTCCCTGAAGGTGGGACTGAAGCCAGTGGAAAGGGACACGAACGCCCGGTGGCAGTCGCTCAGTGCTGGCCTGATACTCAGCCTGTGCCCAGTGAGGAAACCGTCGGTCCAGCCAGCGTGGGTGGGGGCAAGCTGAAGACCCCCTCTGGCTTCACTGAAGAAAATAGAATCATCTGAGGCTCCACACCCGTGAGTCTGCCGGCCCCCGGTGGAGGCATGCCTGCCACACAGCGGTGGCCATCACTGTCCTCCCCAGGCAGGACAAGCTGTGGGACGGAACAGAGACGCCCTCCAGAACAGCGAGAGGTCAGGTGTCAGCTGTCCCTTCTCTCACACAAGTGTGAGCCTTGGTGTGGATACCACACTAGAGAAACACCTCTAGGCTGGACACACACAGGATGGGAGACACACAGGCTGGCTGCTGGGGAAAAGTCACCATGCCCTGGTCGGCACAGAACTCTCTGGAAGAGGCCCCAAGAGGTTCATTCCTAAAATGAAACAGGGGTTATGGCAGCAGTGCCCTTAGGTTGGACTGGCATCAGATGAAGTTGGAAACCAGCCGTCCTCCCACCCCGGCACAGCACGTGCCCCGCTGCTGGGGCGTCCACGTGAGCACTGCAAACACTTTTCTTTTTTAACTGAGAACGTTCTGATCCAAAATAACTCACGGGTTCAGATTTTTTTTTTTTTTTCTTGAGACAGAGTTTCGCTCTTGCTACCCAGGTTGGAGTACAGTGATGCGATCTCAGCTCACTGCAACCTCTGCCTCCCGGGTTCAAGCGATTCTCCTGTCTCAGCCTCCTGAATAGGTGGGATTACAGGTGCCCACCACTATGCCCGGCTAATTTTTGGTATTTTTAGCAGAGACGGGGTTTCACCATGTTGGCCAGGCTGGTGTCGAACTTCTGACCTCAGGTGATCCACCCGCTTTGGGTGCAGAATTCTATCTAAACATTTTTGCCAAACTCAGGGCCGGACTGACGTTTTCCCAGGGGTATGTATCTTTCCAGCCCTGCCTTCAGATGGCTTTCCAACTCTCACTTGGAAATAATTATTGATTTACAGAAAAAATGCAAAATAGTGCAGTCCTATAGACCCCCTCACTGACTTCCCCAAATACTCCTAGAGAATCTCCTCTTGCTGCCCCGCCCTGCGGGAACCCCCCACGGCAATCCCCCACACGGGGACCCCACGCGCCCCCCGCCGCTCTGGGCCGACACTTACATCTCTCATGTTGGTCTGGACCGCGGCCCGGTCCATGTTGTAGGAGGGCAGGTTGGCGGTGGCCCGGAGTATGGCCTCTTTATCTGGAGCTTTCTGGTCTTGTTTTTTCTACACAGAAAAGTAATCAGAAAGTCAGACATGAACGTAACAGCACCAAAAAGCAAGATGATGAAAACTGAACCAGCAGAGCTCTGCCCAGGAAAGACGCCGTCTCCTTCAGGAGCCAGAGGTGTAAACTCCTTGATGAGCTGGGGGAGCCTGGAGAGTTCTGGGCAAGGCCCAGGGACAGCAGACGTGTCCTCAGCGCCTGCTCTGCCGTAAATGAGAGTGAAGCGGTAGGTGAGGGGCAGAGCAGGAACAAGGGTCACAGAACGACAACCACACGGGGGCTGTGGCAGGGCTGGGGCAAGGGAGGTGACTCCAGAAGAACCACCCAGGCTGCAGCTGAGCCCTGAGGCCAAAATCACGAACTCATCTCTGCTCCTTCTGGAAGCTCCTGACGGGCAGTTACGGCAGCAGAAACTCACGAGAACAAAAGTGATGGGAGAGGAACAGAACCGGAAGAGTGACAGCACATTCTCAGAAGACGGCAGAGGATGAGGATGGAGGGATCAGCGGAGCTACGAAGGCTCAGGCCAAGAGCACAGCATGGACGCAAGACCATTCCAGCCTCCTAGAACTGCATCGGTGGCAGGAGACAGGGAGCGAGCCTCAGGAGCTAGGACTCCATCCTCCCCCACCCTGCCCTGCGCTCCCCTGCCATCCAGTCCTGCCGGCAACTCCCAGAGAGCTGGGCTTGAGACCCCGGGCCAGAAGCCTTCAGCTCATGAGAGGGAAAGCGGCACCCCCAGCACCCTCAACAGGGAGACCCAGCAGCAGGGGAGTGGGGCAGACACAGCCATGAGGTGGGAGGGGGCAAAATGGCAGGGTCTGCACCCAAAGGGCAGTGCCCCAGCCAGCCACCCAGTCCCAAAGCACTGCTAACAAGATCCAGGGCCTCTGGAAGGTGGCATTCAGCCACAGACAGCCGGCCAGACGTTTGAGGAAAGCTTCCAGCACAAAAGACAAAAACCCAAATAAAAACAGGAACAGGCTGGGCGCAGCGGCGCACGCCTATCATCCCAGCCCTTTGGGAGGCCGAGGTGGGTGGATTACTTGAGGTCAGGAGTTCGAGACCAGCATGGCCAACATGGTGAAACCTCATGTCTAATAAAAATACAAAAATAAGCCAAGTGTGCTGGTGCACGCCTGTAATCCCAGCTACCGGGGAGGCTGAGGCAGGAGAATCACTTGAACCTGGGAGGTGAGCTGAGATCACACCACTGCACTCAAGCCTGGGTGAGTGACAGTGAGACTCTGACTGAAAAAAAAAAGAAAAGGAACAACAGAAAGCAGCACAAAGTGAGGAGCCAGCAGGGAAGAGGACAGTGTTTATGAGCCAGGACACACGGCCCGCAGAGGAACACACCAGAACGCTAGAAGACATCCGAGGAGGAGAACCAGCTTAGGAATTTAAATACGTTACAGCCAGATCAAAAAGGCTACAGAATGCTAGAAGACAAAGCAAGGAATCCCTCAGAAAACAGGCCTACCGGCCAACTCATAAGTGTTACAGAAAGAGAAAAGAAAACAAGGAGATCAAAAAACCAATTCAGGACATTTTCCAGGACTAAATCTCCCAGAACTCAAACATCTGAATTTCCAGAGTCAATGCGCCAGGCAGAGCGAAGAGAGAAAGACCCGCAGCAGAGACACCGTGGAACATCCCAGAACGCTACAGCACACCAGACGGCAGAAGGTTCTAGAAGGAACAGAGGAAGGGGAGGCCTCGGCTGGTGCAGGGAGGAGCGGCTCAGAGCTGCCTCGTGTGCTGCACACGGCGGTGCTCCCTCCACAGCTCCTGTGCTGGAATGCAAGGCCTCAAGACGGTTTCCCCTCCCGGGCACTAGAGGAAGTCAGGCTCCACCAGACCAAGGGACAGGTCGAGAAGAACAAGACACCTGGTCCTGCGGCAGGCAGAACTCGAGGACGGCGGCACGCTCCCTGTGCCTGGCAGTTGCCCGTGCATGGCTGCAGAGCACGAGCAGGAGGACACAGTCCACTCTGGGTCAGGTTACGTCACGCGGCACAGCCGACTCTGGGGAAAGAGCATGATCCTTGGTGGGCCTCACCTAATCAGGCAGGTCCTTAAAAGGGACGGGTCTCTTTCTGGAAAGAGAGATTCAACACTTCAGAAATCCCGCTGCTGGCTCTGAAGGAGGAGGAGCTTGTGTGGGTAGGAATGCGGGCCACGCCCAGGCCCTGAGAGCAGCCCCCAGCCGGCAACCAGCAAGAAAATGGGTCGGAACTGGACTCTGCCAACCGCCGGAAGACCTCAGGAGCAGAATCTTTCCCAGCCTCGGAAAGGAAGGCAGCCCTTCAGCACCCTGAACACAGCCCTTCGGCACTCTGATTTCAGCTCGAGACCCTGAGCACAGAAACCAGCTGAACTCACCCAGCCAGACTTCTGCCCTACAGAACTGCCAGCTACAAGCCGAGGGCTGTTTTAAGCGCCTACGTGCGTGGCGATTTGTTGGGTGGCAACGGAAAACTTGCATAGACTTAGCAAACTCTACCATAGGAGAGAGGCAGGAAAGCCAAGCTGTGCAGCAGGCCTGGAAGGCAGCGACTCAGACAGATGCGCAGACCAGAGGGATCTGGAGGGACAGCCCCAGGAGAAAGGGAACGCCCCGGCGACCTGACATCTGTGACCATGTTTCCAGAAGCTTTATCAGCTCTGTGGAAGAGCATGAAAAAATCAGCGATAAGCCTATAAGAAACTCAACAAGCAAACGAAAGGAAGAGGCAAGTATTAATTCCAGGAAAAACAAAGTCGTGTGAGAAGGATGGATAATCTTAATCTATTCTGCTCACAGCAGAAAACTATACTTCAATTATAATAGTAATGAAAGCCCTGAGATCTTCAACCAGCATTATGATCTAACCTCAAGGGAGGAGAGAGGGAGGCACTACAGCTTTTTCGTTAAGAAGTCAATAGAGACTAAAGTTGGTCATTCAAGGAATACTACTATACACATATTATTTAGAAATCAGGAAGAGAATTGTGAAAGATAACAGAGTTATGAGTGGTTGGGCCAGGTGTGGTGTCTTACGCCTGTAATCCCAACACTTTGGGAGGCCAAGGTGGAACAGACCACCTGAGCCCAGAAGTTCAAGACCAGCCTGGGCAACATGGCGAGATCCCATGTCTAAAAAAAAAATACAAAAATTAGTAAAGTGTGGTGGCACACACCTATAGTCCTAGTTGCTTTACTCCTGGGGCTGAGGGAGAAGGATCACTTAAGCTCAGGAGGAAGAGGTTGCACTGAGGTGAGATTGTACCACACACTCCAGCCTGATGTGCACTGCCTGGCTTGTGCCAACACGCCCAGCTAATTTTTTATGTTTTTTGTAGAGACAGGGTTTCATCATGCTGCCCAGGCTGGTCTCAAATTCCTGGGCTCAAGTGATCCTCCCACCTCAGCCTCCCAAAGTGCTGCGACTACAGGCGTGGGCCACTGCACCCAGCCAAGACCACTGATTCTTATTAAAAGATTTGTAGTATTATTTGACCTTTTAAAAACATACGTCACGTTGACTTAAAAATTAATTCGTAAATACAAAAATTAGCTGGGTATGGTGGCACACACCTGTGGTCCCAGCTACTCAGGAGGCTGAGGCAGAAGGATTGCTTAAGCCCAGGAGGTCAAGGTTGCAATGAGTTATGATTGTACCACTGCACTGTGGCCTGGGCAACAGAGTGAGATCCTGTCTCTGAAACAAAAACAAAAACTAAATTAAAAATTAATTTAGGCCAGGCACGATGACTCATGCCTGTAATCCTAGCACTTTGGGAGGCCGAGGCAGGTGGATCACCTGAGATCAGGAGTTCGAGACCAGCCTGGCCAACATGGTGAAACCCCGTCTCTTGTAAAAATACAAAAAATTAGCCAGGCATGGTGGCACGCACCTGTAATTCCAGCTACTCGGAAGGCTGAGGCAGGAGAATCATTTGAACCTGGGGGACGGAGGTTGCAGTGAGCTGAGATCGCGCCACTGCACTCTAGCTTGGGTAACAAGAGCGAAACTCTGTCTCAAAAATAACAATAATAATAATAAATTCATAAAAATATGAATTGACATCTTACAATGTTTCAGTTTGCAAATATTTGAAGAGAAAAGGTAAGCTCCTCAAGTTAGCTCCAAGCTACCCATCCAAGGGTCTGTGGGGCAACGGCTATCTGGTCAGACACCACTGTTTATATCAGTTATGGGCCTGTAAGTCTGAACACCAACGGTCAAACTGTAATCTGAGAACTGTGAATGCTGCCTGTAGCAGTTCCCAGAAACAGGCCTGACTCAGGGACAGGCGGAGGCAGGCCCAGATCTGTCCACTGCAGATGGGTGGGGCGGCAGCCTGTGTGTTACTCATGCGTGGCTAGGTGTGGCTGAAGATAAGGAGGGGACCCAAGCCCAGAGTGCTCTTCCTGGGGACCCGTGGTCCTAGAGAAACCCAAAAATAGCTTATGCACTCCCAGGCATGGGCCTGGCCCAAAAGAGTTGGGCCCGCTGCTTCTCTGCGGTGAACACTCTCCTTAGCCTCTCAAAGCACGAGTAAGAAACTCTACCCTCGAGATGAGTAATGCAAAGACAGCAGGGGAAAGTGGCTGCCCTTCTCGCCAGCAGGCTCCACGCTCAGCCCAGGCTCGGGCCCTGCTGTGGGGTAGGACGTGCCACTTGCAGAACGCATCTTCCTCTGCTCAGTGAGCTTTCCAAAGCGTGAGCTTCTGGGGCAGCCAGCAAACACCACGCTGCATGGTTCTCCTAAGGGACACGCGTGAGTGGACGGCGCAGACCACGAGTCGGTAACGTGTGTGTGAATGTACACACCAAGGACATCCAGTTCTGTTTTGCAGGAAAACGGACAAGAAAGGCAGAACTCAGGCCCTCTCAGCATGAAGAGTGCAGGCTGAGCGTCCCCCATCTGAAATGCCTGGGGCCAGAACTGGTTCGGATTTCGGGTTTTTTCAGATTTGGGAATATCTGCATTCCAAATAATAAACTCGAAAAGCACCAACGAGCACTTCCATTAAGTGTCATTTCGGCACTCAAGAAGTTTCAGACTGCGGTGCATGTGGATTTTTGGATGGGGATGCTGAGCCTGTGCAGTGTGAGGCACAGCTTGTCGCGAGTGCTCCCTCGCTGGCCACTCTCTGCACGCGCAGCCCTTATTCCGTGTGGAGGTTGGTTACCAACTTCCCTCCGTTTTTCTGTCAGGACTGACTTGGCTACTTGAGAAGAGGAGGGAACGGGAGCACACGCAGATGAAGGCGGACAGCAGCACGGGAGTGAACTGTCATGCAGGATGTGCCCCTACTCTCCTCTCTGTCTCAAACAACTCAGAGGCAGGTTTTCTGTGCTGGTCCCGTGAGCAGGGACCAGGACTGACATGGATTAAACAGGCTCTGCCAGGAGAGAGAACCCCTTATAACCACATCTACTGTAAATGGCAAATATGTGGGTTGGTGAACAACTAGTATGGAGAACTTCTTTATAATTCTTTTAAAAAATTATTTATTTATTTATTAAATTTTGAGATGGAGTCTCACTCTGTTGCCAGGCTGGAGTGCAGTGGCACGATCTCGGCTCACTGCAACCTCTACCTCCCGAGTAGCTGGGACTACAGGTGCGCGTCACCATGCCCAGCTAATTTTTTTGTATTTTTAGTAGAAACGGGGTTTCACCATATTGGCCAGGAGGGTCTCGATCTCTCGACCTTGTGATCCACCCGCCTCGACCTCCCAAAGCCCTGGGATTACAGGCACGAGCCACCGTACCCAGCCTATAATTATTATTTTTTTCTTTTTTTTTGAGACAGAGTCTCACTCTGTTGCCCAGGCTGGAGAGCAGTGGCACGATCTCAGCTTACAGCAAGCTCCACCTCCCAGGTTCACGCGGTTCTCCTGCCTCAGCCTCCCGAGTAGCTGGGACTACAAGCGCCCACCACCATGCCCAGCTAATTTTTTGTATTTTTTTTTTTAGTAGAGACAGGGTTTCATGGTGTTAGCCAGGATGGTCTCGATCTCCTGACCTTGTGATCCACCCACCTCGGCCTCCCAAAGTGCTGGGATTACAGGCGTGAGCCACAGCGCCCGGCCATTTTTTTGTATCTTTTTTAGTAGAGACGGGGTTTCACCATGTTAGCCAGGATGGTCTCAATCTCCTGACCTGGTGATCTGCCCACCTTGGCCCCCTAAAGTGCTGGCATTACAGGCGTGAGCCACCGCACCTGGCCTATAATTCTTAAATGTAAACTTCTACCAATCAAGGTCCCCAGTTGCAAACTTTGAAATTTACCTTTTCTTCTGCTGAGACCTCAGCCATCTTGGGAAGTGGTGATGGAGAACGCTTTTTTATCAATAATAGGACGTCTAGAAAAAACAACATGTATATCCATCACACTGGTTATCGTTTCATATCCACAGAACGGCATAAAGGGTGCTAGATGCCCTGAGAACAGAACAGCAGGGGTTCGGCCAGGCGCGGTGGCTCCCATCTGTAATCCTAGCACTTTGGGAGGCTGAGGGGGGCAAATCACCCAAGGTCAGGCGTTCGAGACCAGCCTGGCCAACACAGTGAAACCCCATCTCTACTAAAACTACAAAAATTAGCCGGGCGTGGTGGCGCACACCTGTAATCCCAGCTACTCAGGAGGCTGAGGCAGGAGAATCACTTGAACCCGGGAGGCGGAGGTTGCAGTGAGCCGAGCACCACCGCACTCCAGCCTGGGTGACAGGCAAGACTTCGTCTTAAAAAAAAAAAGAAGAAGAAGAAGAGCAGGGCTTCAGCTGGGTGCAGTGGCTCACTCCTATCAGCCCAGCACTCTGATAGGATGAGGCAGGCGGATCACTTGAGCCCAGGAGTCCAAGACTAGACTGGACAACATGGCAAGACCCCATCTCTACGAAAATACAAAAAATAGCTGCACATGGTGGCACATGCCCACAGTCCCAGCTACTTGGGAGACTGAGGTGAGAGGATTGCTTGAGCCCAGGAGGTCAAGGCAGCGGTGGGTCTGACTGTGCCTCTGTACTCCAGCCTGGGTGACTGAGCGACACCATGTCTCCAAACAGCAGGGATTCCTTTGGTCTCCCCAAACCAAGGATCTACGCTGGCCTTCCCTCCCTTTCTCATGACATCTGCGTGGCCCCAGCTGAGGCACAAGCTCCCCGGCCTGGCACAAAGCCCCAGGTGACCCGTGGCCCCGGAGGCGTGCACAGCATGGCCCCAGTAATTGTGCAACGAATTGGTGACAATCCTGCATGGGGCCCTCATTTTCACCAGCTCAGTTTTGAAAAAGTCTGTGAGGCTGGAGAGTTGACTCTCAACCCTCGGAGGTCAAAACCTGAGATGTGGCTCATCCTCAGCCCACGACGGTGACCACCCCCCACTGGCTTGGAGCTTGATGGTCACCTCAGTGGGTATCTGTTAGCAAGACTTCAAGGATTTTCAAAACAGCTAACTTCAAGGAATTCCATCAGTAAAGGCATTATTTGAATGACATAACCAAAACTGATGTTAGCTCTTCAAGTGCCTCCAGACACAAAACCATAAGCAATTAAATGGCCGTGTGTGTCTAATGCTGCACTGGGATGCTGACAACAATCCCCACAACGCAGGTGAAAGCTGCAGAACCCCTGGAGTCTCTCGCTTTGCTCCAAACAGAACTAAAAGCAAAATGCACGTGTGGCATCTCAAACGTCTGCTGCTTGTTCCATTTCAATTTCTGCTGTTTTTCACAGGTATTCTATCACGGAACTCTTTTTAATAAAGGAAAAACAGGCCGGGCGCGGTGGCTCAAGCCTGTAATCCCAGCACTTTGGGAGGCCGAGACGGGCGGATCACGAGGTCAGGAGATCGAGACCATCCTGGCTAATACGGTGAAACTCCGTCTCTACTAAAAATAGAAAAAATTAGCCGGGCGATGTGGCGGACGCCTATAGTCCCAGCTACTCGGGAGGCTGAGGCAGGAGAATGGCGTGAACCCGGGAGGCGGAGCTTGCAGTGAGCTGAGATCCGGCCACTGCACTCCAGCCTGGGCGACAGAGCGAGACTTCGTCTCAAAAAAAATAAAAAAAAAAAAAAAATAAATAAATAAATAAATAAATAAATAAAGGAAAAACAGAATGCTTTTAGTCGATCGCATTTTCGTGCTCGTGTCCAGCTCAGAACACTGACTCCTGTGGGTGGACCACCCCCTCCTAGCTCCAGCGCCCCCAGCAGCGCACGATGCCTGATGCCAACCCGCCCGCCCACAGCAGCCTTACCTTGGTCCTGGATGTTCTCTTCCAGGATGGTCCTGGCATCACTCAGCACCCTCTCTGAGGCAGCGTGGATTAATTTATGATGGGTTATACTTTTGGGATCTTCTAAGCTCCCATGAGCACACTGCGGAAAAACAGATATTTCAAGGTAGAAAATAAGTAAATCGTAATTCTAATAACATAGGACCTGGCATCCCAAGCCACACCTGGAATTTACTGGGTTTCCTTCTGAGCTAAGAAATTACACCATGGATGAAATTCAAGAATTCCCACTAATAGTAGATGGTAAATGAAGCATCACAGCGCCAGATCCCCTGGGCCAGTGAGCTGATCCCCAGCCCACGGAGTACTCCTGAAGCAAGCTCCCAGCTCTGACATACCACACACCCTACTGACAATTCACAGCCACCAGAATCGCTTCTTTGGTCTAGAAAGATCTGGAAAATAATTTTAAATGAAAATAGCAGATCCATTGTTTTCTGATGGTCTAAAGACCTACCTATGTTTTGGGCAGTCGTTTTTCTTTCTTCCACAGATGCAAGAAAGGGGCCCAAGAGACTGCCCAGAAAGAAGACCAGCTCACAGAGAGCCCGAGACTGGGATAGGAGGAGCACTTGGCATGATTGCTCTTGGCTTGGCCGAGTTCACTAAGCAGCAGCCATGCTGCACCCCGAGATTGGGATAAGAGGGGCACTTAGCATGACTGCTCTTGGCTTGGCCCAGCTCACGAGGCAGCAGCCATGCTGCACCCCTGGGCGGCTCGAAGGGGGACCGATGGGCACACAGTCACCAGGACCCTGGAAACCCTGCAACACCTGCACAGGGAACGGGAGGCAACACGTGGGCAGCAGTGAGGAGATCCCCCTCACACACACCACAGCCACCTCTGACCAGTGCTCACGGGGGACCTGGGAAGCCATCTTGACAGCTACCGACTGCAAACTCCAGGAGGACGTTGGAGCAGACGGCTATGATCCCTTCCAACCCTGCCATTACGAAGACCTCACAGCCAACTGCTGGCAGGGGTGGATCCTGCTCCTCAATTCAGCCAGCATCCTCTCTGCAAAACAGCACACAGCTGTCCCTGACTCATGCACATGGCACTGGCTTGCGGGATCTCTGCTTTCCTTTGGACACGGGGGCTCTGCGTGTTGGCTCACCATTTTGTGAAGAACGGCAAACACCAATGGTGCCACATGATGAAGACCGAGGTCGGCACATGTGCCTGTGTATTCGTGCCCAAGTCGGTCCAGAGCTCCACGACTCCACCCTATTATCTATCTGCCTCAGCACCATACGGCCCGACACATCACACCACACCCCAGCACACCAAACAGCGCCCACCTAAATACCCACCGTTTCCACAGCCTGGCCTGAAAACCCTTCAGAACTCAGAGCTTGGGCGGCGAGAGGGCTGACTATTTTCTTGCTCTTACAGATCCCCTGAGGTTAGATGGTAGAATTACCTGAAGATCAGAAAAAGATGAAACCCTCAAGGGGCACTTTCTAAACCTGGTAGCGGGCTCAGCCCGTGGGTCAGGAGCATGGCCCAGCCTGGAGCGGGGCCGGGGCACCACCCCAGGACAGGCCGTCCTCGGACGTCTCAGGTGGCCGGGCAGAGGCCCCGCTGGCAGCTCACTTTCTACCTCCCTTTGCTGCCACAGAGGCTCTGAAACACCCAGCACACACAACTGCTTGCTGGGAAAGAAAATCTAAGCGCACACTTCACCTTTCAACACTGGCATTTGAAGAGTCACTGGAATTTTCTGTTACTCTTTTTTGAAAAAGTAAAAAAAAAGTTTTGAAAAAGGGGCTGTCACTCCTTCACACACAAAACTGGCCAGGCTGAGGGGATGTGAGGGGGGACGCGGCTACCGGGAAGACACACTCCTGCCATTTACGACAGGGCAGAGAGCCCCTCAAGTGCCTCTGGATTTGACAATGGCTCTGCTCCCTGAAATACTGGGGGTGCTTCTTCATGATCCTAAAGTTTGCAGGCTAGTTCATTTGTCAAGTTCAGAATATACAGACTACGAAATGCAATTTTCCAAAATAATTCTCCTACCGATTCCCAAAAAACCTGTAGTCCATGTGTCACCAGCACACCAGAAACAACGTGGAAGCACTAGGACGACCACGTCACTCTGCTTCTTTGTCCTCAGGAGAAGCTGGGGTATGGCAGCAAAAAAGCCCCAGTCAAGGCCGCTGGGGGAGGGAGGCCCTCACGCCCCAACCCGTCTACATGCTGCTCCTCCCCAGAAGAGCAGTGATGACTAGGTTTCTGCTTGTTCCTGACGCAATCCGTCATCGGAGGACCCACCTTCATGCGATCTAGGAAATGGAAAATTTAACAGCTATACTAGTAGGTACTGTGTTCTATTTTGGCAATTTCATGAACTCCTTTTTTTTTTTTTAAAGACAGGGTCTCATTCTGTCACCCAGGCTGGAGTGCAGCGGCACAATCTGCACTCATTGCAACCTCCAGTTCCCAGGTTCAAGAGATTCTTGTGCCTCAGCCTCCTGAGTAGGTGGGATTACAGGAGTCCGCTACTATGCCAGGCTGTTTTTTACATTTTCAGTAGAGAAGGGGTATCGCCATGCCGGCCAGGCTGGAATTTCGTGAATGTTTACGACACGCACCAAACTCTACCACACCACAGGTACGATTTTCCTAAACTCATTAACCACCTGTTGTACAAGACGGGTTCCCCTGCCTGCTTCTCCATTCCAGGGCCGTGGAAGCTAGAGACCACCACGGTGATCCCAATTTGCAGAAAACAGAAAAGGGAAAGACAACAACAAGAGTTGTAATCATAAAGCCCCTCAATTCAGCAATGCACACCCAGGAGCACAGCGGGGAGAAGCCCACATCATGCCCCTCCAGGTAGAGGGGAAAGAGGAAGGATAAAATCATGCCGGTGTCAGCACGTACTAGGGACCTGGCGAGGAGCAACAAAGCTAAAACACACCAGACCTCACTGCCGACAGCAGGATGACATCCAGGGACCGGCTTCCAGAGAGACGTTCAAATACACAACTTGAGGGTTCTCTTTTCTGACTAATGCATTCTAGCCCTGCCTGCAGAACCACGATGGGATGCGGTGGTGGGGAGCCTTTCTGACGCTCAGCTCTGGAGTCCTGAAATTTATGTCGGCTCTTGTGGTGTGGATATCCCCTGCCAGTCAGATCCTCCACACCTGCGGAGACCGCAGAGTGAAATACAATCTCAGTTTAAAGTAGGATAACGACAAAAAATCCCACATGATACAGCTCAACATCAGATGGAGTAAAAAATATCAGGAATATAATAATCAGCATCACATCGGAACTGGCTGCCTAACTGACCCCCAGTGCTCCTGAAATTCATGAGTGAGTATCTGCGGATCAGACAGCTCTCATTTCCTATTTCCTTTCATAAAAGAATGTCACGATGGTGTGTGCATCGCGCCCTGAGGGAGTTAAACTAAATGCCGCCCCAATGCAGGTGACATCCCGTGTCGATGCAGTGTGGGGTCCACGGGATATTTTTGACTATTCCATTAACCCATAAGTTTGTTTTGGTGCCACTCTGAGCCTGGCCCTGAACTTGCGGATATAAACCCAGCCGCCGAGGAGCTTCTGCACTGGCACAGGGAGGATACGGCACCTCAGAGAAGTTTGTGGGATTTTTTTGGTCTGTTGTAGTTTTTTTTTTTTTTTTGGAGACAGAGTCTTGCTCTGTTGCCAGGCTGGAGTGCAGGGGCGCGATCTCATCTCACTGCAACCTCCACCTCGTGGGTTCAAGTGATTCCCCTGCCTCAGCCTCCCGAGCAGCTGGGATTACAGGCACGCGCCACCACGCCCGGCTAATTTTTTTGTATTTTAGTAGAGACGGGGTTTCACCATGTTGGCCAAGATGGTCTCGATTTCCTGACCTCATGATCCGCCCGCCTCGACCTCCCAAAGTGCTGGGATTACAGGTGTGAGTCACCCTGCTAGCCCGGAGAAGTTTTTTAAAACACAAGCAACTAGGCAAGCAACAACGCCTGGCTCGAACAGCCTGGATGCCCACAGAGTTACCGGCGCTGGAGCTTAGTGCTGCCCCGATGGTTGTCCAGATGGCAAAATCATGCAGACTAGGCCAGAAGAAAAGCAAGAAAGCAACCAAAACATACGGGCCCTTGAACGCAGGAGGCTCAGCCCCCTCCTTGGTGTGAATCCTGAGGACAGCACCTCCCAGTTGTTCACAGCCAGTGCGTTGCAGACGGGACTTGCCAAGCCTGCCTCTGACACTTCCAGAACTTCACAGAACCATGCTCACAAAAGCAACTCGAAAGTACTCTATGCAAGCAGCTGCTATGGTAAGAACTGAAGTTTATCCTTACAGACCACACTTAGCTCAAGTCTAACGCACTCAACCTGTCAACACAGATAACCTAACTTATCACATGGAGTCGCCGCTAGAAAGCTGCGGCCTCCTTCAACCTAAATTCTGCCAAGCCCTCAGATCACGTCAAGTATAGACAGGAGGTCGGTCTGACACACAGACAGGCTGCTTAGCTGACCTTACTGAGTCCTTTAGAGACTCGAGAACTAGTGCCAAAAATCAGCAACCTAAGGAACTAAATACACAGGAGTATTTCGGGTGAATAAACTTTAACAAGTGTCTCAGCCAGGAGACCCTACTCCTGGGCCTTCCCTCTTGACCAATTTTACCTCTGCAGAAAAGCAGGGGCGCAGGGCCTTGTCCCGCAGCGACACTATTTCAGACACTCCAGCTAAGAGGCACAGTGGCCAGCCCGGCTGCGCCAGCCAGGAAAAGAGCTCCAAGCAGCCGGCTCTGCGGGAAAGGGGAAGAGGAAGGAGAAGGGGCCTCTTAATGAAGGAGCCTACGTTAATTCTCAGCTCTCAGAGAGGCTGCTGGAAAAAACCTCACCCCAACAGCAAAAAGGTACAACTGCTGGAAAGTCGTCAGGCCCTGCTCCGTCGGCGACTCCACTCTCCAGGCCTCAGTTTCCCGATCTGCCCCTAACTCCCTGCGTAGCTGCAGAGTTAACTGAGAGGCTGGAGTGCATGTAGAGGGCTCGGCCAGGCGGCTGGCGACCGGTGTCCGCTGGCCAGGCCCGAGACGAGCGTCCAGAGGTGTGGGATGCGAAAGGGGGAGAGTCGGAGGACCCGGCAGGAGGCGCTGCCTCCACCCCCGGAGCTGCGGA